TAGTGAAAGAAAAACAGAAGTTAACACAACCCATTTTTGGAACGTCAAAGTCTCAATGCTTTCCTGCTGCTAAAGGAACAGCTCAACAACACACACAAGGGTATGGAGTGCAACAATAACAGGAATGCTTTGAGCAAGGCTGTCTCTTGAAGAAATGGGTAAAAAGAAACCATTTGTCCTGTAATGTGCTTTCAAACCAGGAGTTGGTGACATTTCCATCTTTTCCTCTTGGCAGCCAAGCCAGTGCAAGGCAGCAGTGACAGCAACGGGGACTCGTGTCCTGGCTGCAGCTGCCAAGTGTTTTCACTTGCTGTGCAGAATCCAAAGAAGCCCGTGTTCCAGTTCCAGCTGTGCCCTCTGTGTGCCCAGCCCTGGATCCCAGATGCCCTGCTCTCTGTGCAGAGACAGGCAGTGATGGCAGTGCCCAGCTGAGCCCCAGCACAGCTCAGGGACGGAGGCAAGTCCTGCCCATCCCAGGGCTCCCAGGCCCAGCAGCAGCACCTGTGGCTGAGTCACTCCTCCCTCTGGATGCTGCATTCCCCCCAGTACCCCAACAGCCAAGCTGGGGATCCAACCAAGCTTCCAAAATTGAAAATGTAACAACACAATGGCCATAAATGACAATTCTTGTGACATGATCCAAATTCAATCAGTACAAACAAAATATTTTGACCCTTGGAGCTAGAGACTATCTAAATACCCAATGACATCACCCAAGACAACACAGAGACACTTTCTTTGCTGCTGCCTGATCTTCTCTTGGTCACTTCACAATCTTCTTTTGTTAATGCAGGAAATGCAGAAAAATTAAGCAAACTGCAGAGCTACAGAATCCATCCCAACACCATTAACATCACAAAAGAGTAAGTCCCACAGCTTTTGCAGAAAGTTCAATTGGATTAATGATCCACTGCATGGCTTCAAAAATTCAAACCCTAACAGAAGCAGCTTAACAGTGAGCAGTATTACCCCTGTACAAGGGAGAAATAAGGATAGTTTAAACATTCTGAATATTACATGAATGTTTTAATTCTGGTATTTTATTCCTTGAAAAAGAAGCATTAGGAACATCAACATTTCAAAACATGCCAGCACAGTCAGAGCCTCTGTATGTTACTGGGAGATCAGTTTACAACGCAAATTAAAAAGTGATTTCTTGAACTGGTTTTGCTTCTTCATGAGATAATATTTAATTGTTATCTGTTTCATACCGGGTAACACTGTCAACCTCAGTTCTGACAATGACAAATTTGTGCTTGGTGTTTCCGTATTATTAATAAACAATTAGTAATGCAATATATCCATATGAAACCAGGAGCCCAAGAGAATACCACCATGTGACCACCGAAGGTGTGTTTTATCAGCTCAGAAATCACCTGTACACGCAGACATATTTTAGTATTTCCCCCACCACTGAGAGTTTTGTTTTGATCAGGTGCAGCAGTTTCCCAGTATGTCTCAGTACTGACACAGACAGGTGTTCTTGGAAACCCCTCTCAGGTGCAGGAACCCCCTTTCTGTCCCTGCCTGCTGCATCTGCTGCTCTTCTCACTGGCAACACACCCCTCAGTCAGTCAGTGACCTCCTGACCTTTGTTATTTTACTGCTTTAGAGCCCTGATCCCAGTTTTATTCCTATCTGTTTATGACTTTTCTTAATAACCTGGAACAGCTTCAGTTTCTGTGGGATCACGGCCAGGCTCCTCCCTTTGCGTGCCCAGAACTGACAGAGCACCAGCTCCGTGCTGGGCACCCCAGGGTTTCCCTGATCACCTGCAGGGTTACAGGTGAGGCTGGGGGGATCCTACATCCCCCCCCCCAACCAAACACTGGCTCAGTTCTTTGGGAGAGGAATGAAACCACTCCTGATGCCTCCCAGGGGCGCTGGGGTGCACAGGAGCTCAGCTCTGCCAGGGGAGTGCCAGCAAACATTGAAGGAGTGGAGACGAGCAGCACTACCCACTCACTGTCAGGTCTCCTTCCTTCCTCCACCTTCTATGGCAAAGTTTACAGGAGGCAGAATGAGAGTTTCTGCTTATCTGGCAGTGGGCACCTGAAGCCTTTTCCTCCCACCACCTTCCCCCCCCCAGCCAAAACACAGCCCCACTGGCTTTGCTGGAGCACTCTGTAAATGGGCTGTGAAAGCTCTGCCCACAGCAGGTTTCATGGTGTCATCACCACATTCCCACACTGCAATGGGCAGCAACATCCAGAGTTCCTGCCATTAGTCAAAAGCAAAACTCTCCCATTTTAAAGTGCATACTTAGAACAGATTTTCTATAGAATACAATTGAAGGAGTGGAATACATCCCCACAGTCTCTGCCTTACTCATGCTGCTGCCAGTCTTCTATCCTTTTCTAAGCTGTGTTTTACCTCTATCATGAAGCTCTCACTCTGTATTTAGTGAATAGGACCTGAATTGTCTTAGTTCACTAGAAGTTGAGAAGCCTATTCTACTTCAGGACTAAGTTCTCAGTTCAAACCTATTCACATACATCGTGTTTTAAGAAGTCTTCTCATTGACATGTAAGTCCATATCCTTAATTATCAAATTCCAGTTTAACTTTCAGCTAAGGCAGGTACCAATTTAATTTGTCAATAATTAATCATACCACCCAACCCAGCCTGTAAAAGTGCAGAGAAAAAAACCCATACAGAGGACACAACTGTATTTCAAAGAGAGAAGAGAAAGACTAAAAGAGTCTATATAAAACTGGATGAAAAAACCCCTAAACTGTGGACAAAACAAGATATAATATTTCCAGGAGATATAACACACCATGTACTCAGTGACTTCAGAAGAGTGAGAAGAATAACCAGTTATAACAGTGAGCCCTGCAGAAGAGAAGAAACAATAGACCTCCAAGAGCTTTGTAGGGTGTGTAAGCCATGGAGCTTGAGCAACAACCAGCCTTTCATCCTGGGAGTTACAGAGGGGACCCTCTGGATGGGGGTTGTCCCACGAGCACCTTTCCTCCCCCAAACAGGAGTTCCCAACTCCCTGGCCCCAGGGAACACCCCTACACCAAATGCTGCACTCCAGTGTTCTCCTGCAGGAAAGGGAAGGTCAGATGACAGACCAGGCCACTGCACAAGTGGGACTCCAGTCCAGCAGTGCCCAGTCCTTTACACACTGCTAATGACACCCAGTGACTGGGTGGGAAACGGCCTCCTGAGACCTAAATCCCTGCTGGCACTGAGCTCTACCCTCTGCAGCACACTAACTACACCTCAGAGTCAGGTGGCATCTCTGTGCCTTTATTCATGGAAGCTACACAGCAATTCCATCCCTTCTCTTTGGGACCACCTGCCCACGCTGAGTAAGCTGCAAGAAAAGCAGTGGGAAAACTGCAGCTCAAGAGTGAAGGCAATGGATATAAAATAAGCACCCAGCCTCATGCTAAAGGAAGATTAATAGTGGGCCCTTACATTCATGTGACTGGTTAGTATCTCTCCACCACACAAATTGGAAAAGCAGCAGAAAGATTTATAAAGGCATGGAGATGAAGACACCAGAATATTTGCCCTGGAAAGGATCACATGAAAAAGGCAGTGTGCTCTTTTGCATCAGCTCCAAGTTGCTAGTGGGGATCAGAGCACTGGGAATTAATCTGGGCTGCTGGAACTGCCAAGAGAGGGCAACTTTTAATAAAAATCTTGCAAGGATGGATGGTGATTACAGAATTGCTGGATGGGCAGTATTTCTCCCGTAGTATCACTCAGTGTGCATCTCTTATGCCTTTCTCCCCACTTGGAATTTAGATCATAAGAAAGAATCCACTTCTCTAATGCCCATCAGTGCAGTTTTTCATCATCTCAGAAGTGGCAGTGACAAATCTCCACATGAAAGACAAACAAAGGCTGAAGTCAAAGCACCTGGAGCAGGTTATTTCTCAGCCTGGGCCATGGTCCTCTTCTGTAGCACTTCTGGTCCCAGAACAGAGCTGCTTGAAGCTCCCCACAAATTACTCAGGGCAGCACATAGCTTTGTTTTCTGTGCCTTGCTCATGCTCACACATGAACACTGCAGAAGCTCTTCCCTCATTGGAATCAACAGGCATTAATCATTAATCCAAATGGAAGCACTACTGGCAAAGTCAAAGCACGTCCAAGGAGATGCTGAGACTCCCAAATCCCACCAGGGCTCCCGACTTTCTATGGATTTCTGTGCTGGAAAACTGAAAGTCTTTACTGAACCCAGAAGTCAGGACTCTAGAGAGAAGCCAACCTAAGCACTTTGTTGAACTTCAGCATGCACAGGAATAGAAGAGGTTTTGTTGGTGTATTCCCCAAGTCTTCCTGCAGCAGGGACTCCACTGCTGCCAGTGAAGCAACATTCAAAAGCCAGGGAGTTCCTCAGAGACACAGACCCAACTCATCCTCAGAGCAGCTTTCAACAGTGAACTCTTACTGAACAAATCAGCAAGAACCCCAGCGGGAGAACAACTACAGTCCTGTGCAAGTACAACCTTATCAAACAAGAATCACAAATGTCAAACAGAATTCTAATGGTTCACCCAAGTCTCCTCTCCTACAACAGAACTGAAACAAGTATCTGTCAAAATATGTTTGAATGTGTTCTCTGAAATCTGTTTGCAATGTTAAGGCCTCACACACAATTCACCAGGGAAGGTGCCCTCTCCTGCTGCAGCCCAATTCTCTAACTGACCTTTTGCTTATTCATTTACCTACCAGAAGAGAATTTTGTTACCCTTAACTGTTTTGCATATTTGATGCACTGCTCTAATTTTGTCCATCGAGTTTCTGCAATTCCTGAATCTTTACCTTTGATCATTTGATTTTTCACATTCCATGATGGTTTTCAGACTGTTGCACAGCCCATGACTGAAACAAGTAGTTATCTTGCTATAATTCCCATTCCTCCTTTGCCTTAGGTTATTTTACACTTGAGTCTAGAACAGAATTTTTGGAACAGGAAACTCTTATTTTTTTCCTTGGTTGTGTTTCCCACACAGAACTTATATATATTTTTAGTACAGTCTCTTCCTCTTTTGAAGATCATTATCTTTGTTTTGCCCTTCATTTGGCTCTCACAGAACTAGGAATATTATTATTCTAAAGCCTGAGCTCATTTAAATTGCCATCCCAATGATGAGAATTACCTCTGGAGGAGAGTGTTTTCCATCTGAGTTTTTCTCCTTCTGTATCAAAACCTTGTCACCATCAGTTATAAGAATTCACTGGAAACCCTTAACTTGCTCTACTCTACTCCTTGATGACACCTTCCTGGTTTAACTCCCTTCATCTCCCAGCCCCCTGCACCTCATGCACCTCAGTACACTGAGGGAGAGCAGCAGTGCAGCCTCTGTCTCTGCCCTTCCTGCCTTGCTGGCTCACGGTCCATCATACAGACCACAGGACCTGTGCCCAGCAGGAGCTCTGCCTTCCCTCCCTGCTGGCACCACCCAGACATGTTCAAGAAGGCTATTCTGGATTTCAGAACAAAGGGAAATGTTACACAGGACAAGGATTTAGTGGCAAGCTCCTTTTCCAGAATTTTCAGATCCTGATTTTGCTAAAAATCCTTCCCAGCAATCTTCTGGAATTAAAGACTAGGAAAGTCACTCCAGAGAACTCTATTAGGGTCACCATGTTTATGGCCACATGTCATTAAAGCTGAGAAAATCTGAAAGGAAATGCTGACTCTGGAATGAGGAAACTTTGGTTGTTGGAGTCCTCCCACCATCCTGAAGGGCCCTTTGGTGCTCTGTGCTCCCACTGCCTGACTGCCACCTCCAGTCCCCACCCTGGGCTCATCCCATGGCCACAGTGACACGTTCATGCCACATACACTGTCAGTGACTGAGGCACAAACAGGCACACTCCCAGGGAACACTCCTAAAGCATTTGGAATTCTACCTCCTTCATTACACCAGGCTCAGAAATCCATTATTGCAATGGTTTACGTAACTTGTACATAAGGAAGGAAACGCTTCTTCCTTACTGTCATTCAGAAAATCAGCTGAACTGTTTCTGCTGGCCTTTCACACCAAATTCGGGCTAAAGGGAAACATCTCGCCCAGTGTGGACACCTCAATTTACAGAAAACTTTAGTTTTAGGGATGAGGCCCAGCCAGGGTTTATGAAAGGCAGGTTCTACTCTCCTCCTGTGACAGGGTGACCTGCTCAGTGGATGAGGGACAGGCTGTTGATGTGCCTACCTGGATTCCAGTGGAGCATTTCCCACAGTGTTCTCCTGGAGCCACCGGCTGCTCAGGGCTTGGCTGGGGGCACTGGTCCCTGGGTAAGCACTGGCTGCTGGCTGGGCCCAGGGCAGGGTGGGGAACGGGGCTCCAGCCAGGGAGACCCACACGTGGGTAACTGGGATTGCTGTGCTGGACACGACTGCTGGGCCTGCTCAAGGCTGATGGCATTTCTGGCAAGTCGTGCTTCACAACCCCCCTGCAGCTCCAGGAGGCATCAATAACCAGATAAAAGTCATACAGTTAGGAACACATGGACATTTTCAAAATTCTGTAATGATCTCCTTCATATTTTCTTGGAGGAGTTAATATGTAGTAAGCACAGGCAAGAAAGTTTTCATATTAAAAGACAGGAAAACAAAGATAGCAAAAATGGTCAGTTTTCAGAACAGAATGAACCTATCAATAGATCTTTCTATGTAAAAGTGCTGATAAAATAGGTTACATAGCAGATATAAATGCTTTGAAAGACAGGATAATAATGGAGCAGACAGTTTGCTGGTGACAGAATTCTTTAGAATAGCCAGAATGACAGCTGAGAGCCAACACTGCCGAAGGATTTCAGAGCCATAAAACCCATAAATTGGCAAATAAAGCTCTTCAGGAAGAAAGCATGCTGATTCCACAGACTGCTAGCAGAAAAAGAAGTAGGCTACATAATTTAGTGCATCAGAAATGGTACACTCCATGTGCTCAAGTCTTAGAAGTTTAATAAAGGAAACTTCCTTGCTCTGGGTGTAAGGCAGGTGATGCTGTTTTGCTATGGCTCTACAGCACGTGCATTTGGGAGGTGTGAACTGCTTTGCACCCCCACGTTCATGTCACCGAGTACCAAGAAGCCAAATAATTAATAATCAAAGACACTAAACTTGCAATCTAGTATTTGTACTAAATTATTTCACAAAATAGATCTTCTCAGGCTTTGCTGGCTTGAAGCAGCAACTCTCACATGGCAGCCACCCTTTTTGTCAGACCTGAACAACAGTAAATGACGTGAATATGAGTGAAAAGCTCAGGAGCCTTTGCTGCCCCAAAGGCAGCAGTTTGTTCCTGGGAATGTCTTTTGCACCTGGAAGCATCCAGAACTTCCATCATCCTGCAGGCACACCCTGCCCTGCCCTGCCTCAGTCAGTTCACTGTGCTGAATGAGAAGGCTGTGAGCAGAGGAGAGAGGCAAAGCACACACCCAAGACATGCTCCTCGGAAACTTCCCCTGTTCCCCCAGCGCTGGTGCCAAGATCCCTTTCTGGGAGCCACTGACGGCTGCAGCTTCCTGCCCATGAGCTGTCAGGGGATGTCTGGGAAGGTTCCCTGGGGATGTGATGGAACACAGGGTGACCCAGGGAGCTCTGTAGCCAGCAGTGTGCACGGGGCGTCGGGAGTGGTGCAAGTACAAAGCATCATGAGATGAGCGTGGGCTGTGGCAGCAGCTCAGGGTGTGCTGGGCTGCAGGGCCAAGCCACACTGGGACTGCTGGATTTAAAGCTGCTGGTGGATCTGTCAGCTCTTAACTCCTGTGTACCTTTGCATGTCCAACACAACCTGCAGCTTATCTGCACACCCTTCAGAAGGGACATTCTGTCCCTAAAGCTGCTGCCTGATCGTTTTACTGGATAAGCCAAGATCTTTTTTGCAACACAATTAATAACTATTCCTCTATTTGCCATTCTTTACCCCATTGCTTGGGTTTTTCTCTCTAAATTTGTATATCCTTTTGAAAGTGGGATGGTCCCAATTACATTCAGTGCTCAAGATGAGGTGCAATGCAAGTTTGAGAGAGAGATTTTTTCTTTGTTTCTAATACGTACACATATAAATGTGTCCTCTATTTCTAATTCTTACCTTGGCCTCTCAGAGCACTGCCAAGCACAGAGGTTTTATTTTCAGATTATTCTCAATGACAGTTTGCTCCAGGAGCAAACTGTGAGTAACTCCAGCTGGTCAGTGCCTGTGAGGAAGCAGCCTTTGGGTGCCTGCTCTTGGGAGTGACTCAAATCCAGCAACATAAACAGAGAGAGCTGGAGGTTGAGCTCAAAGTTAAGTGTAAGGTACAACAATGCAAATATCTGGAATAAGTCCATTTAGGTGTATCTACCCTGAGTGCTTTTATCAAAGGCTGCTTTCACCTCTGCACTCGCCCATCAGCTGCCCTGGGAACATGTCCCCACCTCAGCTGCTCTCAGAGACAAGAGGGGCTCAGGGTGGGCCTGAGCTCTGCCCCCTCTCAGGGGGATCCTGTCTGTGTGAATACCTGACCTGAGGGTGCAAAGACAGCAGAGCCAGACACTTCCCAGGGGCACCCAGTGACAGCAGAGGAGCCAGACAAGCCAAACAGGAGCACACTGATGCTGGGTAAGCAGTTCTGCAGCCAAGGGTGCAGTGACAACCCCACTGCCATGGCTGACGAGAGGCCACAGGCACCATCCCTGTGCCCAGCCCCAGGCCTGGGCTGTGGGGGAGCTCCCAACATGCCACCAGTCCCTGCTGTGGGAACTGGGGCTTGGCACTAGGTGAATCTGCTTATAACACAACTTCAGGGGTGGGATAATGTAATAACCAGGTGTCTCTGGTCATAACACAACTTCAGGGGTGGGATAATGTAGTAACAAAGGCCTTGAAAATATGCAACCTGTCAGATAAACACATTTCAGCTCAGAGCAAGTGCTTTGTACCACTACTGTACTTTCTACGATATTTCCAAGCAATTACAATAAGCCTCAAAGCAGTTTTTAAAATACTGAGTACTTCTCAAAAGAAAAGTAATGGATTTCTGTTCCTCCACACTGGAAGAGGCTCCACGTACTACAGATTCTTTATTATGCATTCTTCTGAATAGCTAAAACCCACAACCTTGGTGTCATTAGCACCAAGCTCTGACCAACTGAGCTCCTCTCAGGGGAGGGCAGGATCAGGACCAAAGGGATGTTTGCACTTGCAGCATCTCTCCAGTGCCCAACCTTATCAGCAATGGCACCACAGACTGCCCACTGAGCTCCAGGCATCCCAGAGCCAATCCTTACCTTTCAGTGTTCACCTCACCCCTCAGAGAGCCCCCAGGCCAAGTGAGACTGGAGATACAGAAACTTCTTTGAAACTTCCTATATCTAAAACATTTGATTTCCTCCATTAAATGAAAGCCACCATCTACCTGCAATGTTTCCAGGATTTTTTCTTAACCTGAAAGAAAAAAATGAGACTTGGGTGCATTTCTGTCTGTAACTATGCTGCTTAATAAAGTCTGAATTATCTGTTTAACCAAATCTGACTGATCTTGGATATAAAGTGTCCCAATAAATTTTACCAAAGCAGGTGAGTGAACAGAAGCCAAAGAGGTCACTGGGGCACAAAGTGAACCACGACCTCAATCTCTGTTAATCTCTCTCAGTCCCTGACTGAGGTGGAGACAGACAGGGACACTCACACTGTGAGTGCTGCTGCTTCAGCAAAAGCCTCAGCTGCAGCACAACCACCCCTTCCCCAGCACTGTGTCTGGGTAGCTTTTCTCGTTTCCAAAAAGTCACGAGGTTCTTCCAAATCTGTTTAAGTTACATGGCCTTCAGAACTTCATCTCTCATAAAGGTTATCTGACTCTTCACAAATATGTTCAACTGCTTTTGTGTAATTCAGTAAAACTGACCAGCACAGATCCACCAGAAACCCCTCTTCATCAGTTCTGCTTCTCATGAAATCACTTATTTAGAGTATATTAAAGACCAAGCATTTACTGCCAATGGTCTGTGAAAAGACAATGCACAAAATGAGCTGAGCTGGCTCAAAGCAATGCCTTATCGTTCCCTCTCTTCAGTTAAAAGGACATAAGATGAGAGGAGACCTCCTTTGTCACATAATTATTTTTCCTGCTTTGCTAGGGGAAAAAAAAAAAATCTATTTTCCCTCAGCTGTTATCTCATTCCAATGTCCCCTTCTACTTTTTGACTGTCTGAACACATGTATGGAGCTTTTTTTTTTTAAGGAAGTACAAAGAATTTGAGAAATCCCATGCAAAAAAAAAAAATACCCGATCTTCACGCTGAGAAATTCAAGCAGAAACTAAGAAGTGCCAAACTTCAGATGCTCTGTGCAACCTTGCTGCAGTGTCTTTGTGGACCCTGACAAGCCCCCAGGCTCCAGGCCTGGGCACTGTTCTGTGTGGGATTTGGGAGGGGTAGGGGTTGTCCTGTCTCTGCCATGTGTGCAGGTCCTGCTGCAGCCAGGGAACCAGGGAGGGCAGAGCAGGAAGGGGTGGTCTCCCAGGAGGACTGATCAGGATGCTCCCCACTGCTATTTGCTTGCACTTCTGAGCTCCTGTAAGAGAACTTGAACAATTTAACCTATCTCAAAGCTGGTCCATAACAGCACATTCTCCATTTTCCAGGCACCTTCCCTGCAGTCCCCTGGATGGATGCCCAGAAGTGCAGCACACAAAGGACTGGAAAGTCCTGGGGGGTGTAAAACCCCGGAGCTTCAGGAAGGGGACAAGGCTTCACTCAGCCCTTCCTCACTGCACAACACAAGGGACAGGGCTCAGGCCCCAGCCCTGCTCTGTCCTCACTGTAAATGTGTATCTATCACACAGACTAACAGCTTCAAGTTCCCATTCCATGAACTTTAAGAAACCCAGGTGCTCTGAGCTTAGTCATTAACCAGTCTGAGGAGAAGGAGGAGGAAATCAATAACAGCAATGGTTTAAATGTGTCACATGTTATCTGAGAAACCTCCCCACAGGGAGTGGCACAGATACTGTATCTGCTGCTTTTGATATTAATGACTGGGCCTGGATCAGCTATTCCAGAGCAAAGACAGGACCTTCACTTACAAGGGATTTATAAAGAGAAGAAACCCTACAGAAAAAAAAAGGCTGTGAGGAAAACTTTAATATTTTTTTAAATTTTTGACTGGAACTTGGCTACGAGGGAAAAGTGAGAGGAAGCATCAGATCAAAAGTGAGCTTAAAACAACACAATGAATATTTGCTCGACATGTTTTGGCACGGGTAAGAGAACAAGAGAGCACATATTAGAGTCAAAATGAGCAAAAGTCTGGATATGCTGCTAAAAATACAATGCAAGAGGGAACTGTCACCTCAGAACTGAGAGAAGATAAACTGCTGGAACACACACAGATCACAGCAAGTGCTGGCAAGACAAATAGAAGTGGAAATGTGGGAAAAGGAGCAGAAAACTGAGAAAGCTCAACATGCAACTTGTTCCTCAAGAGTGTATGTCTAAGATTCACTAAGGAGTGTTTGAGAGCAAAACATAAAACAGATACACCTGTATAAACTTAGTAATACTAAAACCTCAAAACTTCACATAAGTAATAAAGCAGCAAGTCCTGAAAAGAGTGCTGAAAGAGAAATAGTAATAAACAGCAGCTGAAATACAAGAGGGAAGGAAGAGTCTGAGCACATTAATTAACACTAAGATAGTGGGCTCAAGGGGGAAAATTAATCAAGTGCTGCTAAGGAAAAAGGAAAGAAGAAAAACACAGAGGAACATTGCAAGTAAGGCAGGCTGAATCAGGAAAATGCTTAAATCTTTATTTATAATCCTCTCAGATCATTTTAGATCCTCTACCTTAAAAATTTTACAATCAGAAACAGTTGAAATTATGTATTTTGCTCAAGTTAAAAATGGCTGTGTAAACACACCATGTATTACCATGCCACTAATACCATCTGTTGTTGATACCCAAATGCAAGGGCCAGAATAAAGCAGCCACCTTCCTCACAGGACAGTTGGGCTGGGAGGGACCTTAAAGCTCCTGTCATTGCACCCCCTGCCACAGGCAGGGACACCTTCCACGACCAGCTAAACCAGAGCCCCACAACTCCTCTGGTTAGGTCTTACAGCTTGGTGGAAAACTCTTTAAAGTGGGAAAATACAGAGCAATACTTAGAAAAGACTTTACCAGAACCTACACCCAATGTACTATTTTGTAAAAAACACTTAGTTTTCTCAATATTTTGTAAAAAACAAGAGTATTTTTCCCCCGGCTTTCAGCACTTTAGGCAAACTTTCCTTTAAGGTTTCCCAGCACTCCCTCTCCCCCACTGTCAGTTTAAGACACCTGGAAGTGCTAATATCAGGGTGTCTTTACTGTAACAGGCTCATATTTTAACCATGTTCAAGTTTAACCACAGTGCTGAATTTTCTGTACAGTCCCCATGTTTTGGGCATAACTGCCTTCTCAGCTGTAACTCCCTGTCAACACAGACTGTGTTCAGTAACCCTGCCAGAGGGCAGGGTTAGGTGGGATATTGGGAAGAAACTCTTCCCTGGGAGGGTGGGGAGGCCCTGGCACAGGTTGCCCACAGAAGCTGTGGCTGCCCCAGCCCTGGAAGTGTCCAAGGCCAGGTTGGACGGGGCTTGGAACAACCTGGGCTAGTGGAAGGTGTCCCTGCCCATGGTAGGGGGTGGCACTGGATGAGCTTTGAGGTCCCTTCCAACCCAAACCATCCTGTGGTTCCATGACATTTAGTACTTTTTTGCTGTTATTACAGGCTGACAGGAGCTAAAAGCAATGCAAGGAGGAGAGAGGGCTGCCCATTTTCACACTCCTTGCCACCTCATGTTGTTTCCAGGAGATCAAAGTCTCAGAACACCTGAGGGTTAACGCATTTTTCACCACTGTGTGATGTCTCTCCCTGTTTCCAGGCAGAAGGAACTGCCAGCTTTGCTCAGCACAGGCAGCAGAGGGGAGCAGTCGTGGGGGTGAGGAGTGCAATGCTCCCCTTTCCCAAGAGCTGCCTGGTGTCTGGTCTGCCTTCTGAGCCCCAGGAAACACGAGCCACTTCATAAGGTCAGTTCTGTGTGTATTGCCCTGAAAGCAAGCTGGGGGATAGCCATCTGTGCACCTGAAATCTAGATCTACACCTAAGCACTGCACTTCAACTTAGCTCACACCTTCACAGCTTGGTGCTAAACCTGGCCCATAGCATCCTTCTTGATTTTATAACCTACCATAACTGGAGTAAAGCCAATGCAAGTAAACTCAACTGTTAATACTGTATACTGAATAAATACAACTAACAACCAAGGTGTACTAGACTAGTATTCATTACACTAGAATGTACTCTACTAATAGTACTTGACTACACAGGCTGAGATCAATTCACTTACTCTGAACATGTCAAAATTTTTCCTTCATTCCCCAACCTCTGATTACTTTTTCTTCCTAAAACGTAATAAACTTGAATTTTATATCCCAGTCAAGGAGGAAAAAGAAATACGTATGGCATTACATACATAATATGCAGTGTAGCACAGCAGGGAAATCCCTGAGGAAAGTATCAGAGAGATAACGTGATATCCCAAGGTGACCTGACAACTTCCAGCCACAGTGTCTGGCTCAGGCCCAAGCAGTTCATACCCAGCAGTTGTGACTCTGCTCTGACAACACCCTGCAGCAGCTGAACCAGCACTGCCCAGATCAGCAAAGTGTTTACACCACACATCTCAGTGCTGGGACCTCAGAAACTTGGGGCAGAAGAGGCTTCACACCCGAGAGAGCAGGGAAGAAAGAGGGCACAAGGATCAGCTCAGAAACATATCAATGGAGCTCCACTCTCTGATCTTAACTGATGCATTTTTAATACAAAGAAATAACTGCAACAAAATGGAATGGAGGGGTGAGAAGAGGGTTATGAGAAGGCTCTACAAAATTCCATGTGGGACAGAGGAAGTGTAGATGCAACTGTTTGTTACGTCTCAAAGTCGTATTTTGTCAGCCAAGGAAGTCGCCAGTGAACTATCAGAGAGCTCAATCCAGTGATTTTTCCACACAGCTGAAGTACAACACTGCTGTTCCAGGCTGCCATGGAAACTGGGGGTAAACGGGTTGAGTCTTAGGTATCAAACAAATCTGAGAGGGAGAACATCCTTCGTTGCTGTTACACAGAATGGTTGGCAAGTGCTTGTCATGGGCCTGGGCTGGAACCTTCCCTGTTTGCCACTCTCTTGGAAGGGCTGCAAGTGGAGCAGAACAAGGACACACAAGGTGTTCCAAAATCTTTACAGCTCAAGGGGACTCTCCCTCCACAAACAGTAGAAACAGAAGTATCTGTTTGACAGAAGTATACATAACTCCAACTGTAAACATTACAAATTAAACTCTGAGCCATGAATTTAGTTATAAACTGTCAAAATGTATGATATGAGAGAGAATAAGCTGTGTTTTGCACACCACAGCAGTAAGTCACATTTCTGCATCTCTGCATCACCACAAATCTTTGCCATTCTGGGGCCAGCCCCACAAGCCTGGAGTTTACAGGGGGGAAAAAAAGAAAAAATATTACTTCATCACAAATCTTGAGAACAAAAAGCAAACTAACTCAGCCTAGTTTTCTGCATCATTATCATTAAGATTTGTAATCAAGTCTTTGTTACCTTTGTAACTCAGATGAAGAACTCATGGCACTTTGAATCTCTTTCCTTAGTTAATCAGGACTTAAAATTCCAGTCTGTTACTGAAATATCCACAAGTGATACCAGGACTGGCATGTTTTCTTCTGTACATTAATGGAAAGATTTACATCTTCTGGAAGCAAACACAGTGGTGATTGGTTGAAAAGACAGTTCAACAGCTGCTTGGAAAATTACAGATCCAAGTGCTGCCAACTCACAAACTCCATCTCCCCATCATTCAGAGCACAAGATTCTGTGTCTCTGGTCACTTCAGCAATTCACCAAATTATAAACCAAGAGATGAAATCAAATGGGTTCCTCTCCTCTGAACCCAGACAGTGTGAGGTCTGCTGAGATTCTGTCAGTGCTGCCACCCCAGGATGAATGGATGATCTCTGGACAGGCATAGCAGTTGAATTCCTTTCTCCTCTCTCTCACAGCAGCTGTGGCAGTGCATGTGATTCTCTCCCTTGAGCTGACTGTGCCCCAGCAGTGTGTGCCCAGCCCAAAGGCCCCTGTGTGCTGGGCTGCAGCCAGAGCAGGGTGGGCAGCAGGGTGAGATCCCACCTGCAGTGCTGCCTCCAGCTCTGGGCTCCAACAGAATCAGGACATGGAGCTGCTGGAGCAAGTCCAGAGGAGGCCATGGAGATGCTCCAAGGGCTGGAGCCCCTCTGCTCTGGAGCCAGGCTGGGAGAGCTGGAAGTGTTCAGCCTGGAGGAGAGAAGGCTCCAGGGAGACCTGAGAGCTCCTTCCAGGGCCTAAAGGGGCTCCAGGAGAGCTGGAGAGGGACTTGGGACAAGGGATGGAGGGACAGGACACAGGGAATGGCTTCCCACTGCCAGAGGGCAGGGTTAGGTGGGATATTGGGAAGAAACTCTTCCCTGGGAAGGTGGGGAGGCCCCGGCACAGGTTGCCCAGAGAAGCTGTGGCTGCCCCACCCCTGGAAGTGTCCAAGGCCATGTTGGACAGGGCTTGGAGCAACCTGGGCTAATGGAAGGTGTCCCTGCCCATGGCAGGGGGTGGGACTGGATGGGCTTTAAGATCCCTTCCAACCCAAACCATCCTGTGATTCTATGAACTGCAAAAATCAGTTTTGTTAAACCACAGTTTTAGAAAAAGCTCCTCTCTGCAGATCAGAAGTAACTTGTCTTCAAGGGCTCTAGAGAAAGAATTTCAGTGATTTCCACCACGTTCCCAGTGGGGAACAAGAAGTGAGAATCTACAGCTGGCTGTCTACTAAAAGCAAAACCTTAAGACACAGAAGACACAAAATTCTTGTTACAAGACCCAGAGTTAAGACTACAAAGGTCACTTGGCACCTTGACTGGCCCAGCAACTGTTGTCATTTCCATTCAGCAGCAGGTTCAGACTCCAGAAGTGACACAGGTGCCAAGGTCAGAGAGGCCAAGTTACAGCTGCAGAGGCTGTCAGGGGAGTCCAGGCCTTCCCTGGGTGTCAAAAGAGTCTGAAGGGAGGAAGTACTTTGAGAACTCTGGTTGAGCTCCCTTCAAACAAGAGTCATGTGAGCAATATCCTTGGAATCAAAGGGGTTCCCCACAAACACACTGTCACACACAGCCACTTCCTACAGGAGGAATTCCATGGGAAACATAGAAGCTCTAGTTCAAGATTCTCTACTTCTTTTGGTTCAAAGCTTTGGAAAGAAAAAAAAAGGGGACTCTTCCTAAATCCAGCTCTAATTGCAAGAAATTACTTCTGTTTTCATGGAGATCTGTGCAAATAGACTGGTCTCACTTGGCGTGTTACATTTTCTGTTTTCCATAAAGAAAAAACTAGCAGCTTAAAAGGCAGGCTGTGAGAACACAGGAATAACAGCAATCCTTTGTTCACCTCAAAAGATGCTCTTTTGTTGAAATGCATCTGTCTCTTCTTCATCAGTGAAAAAAAAAGGCATTTTGGTTAAATAAAGTGACTTCAAGAATATAAGATGAAAATCAAAATGGGGGCAAAAATGCTTTGAACCAACAGAGCAGAAAATCGCCACTATTTATGTCACCACAAACTGAAATTCCACTACCTCTATATCTATGTAGGTAAATATTTCTAGAGTAAGTTTTCACTCTAATGAGTTGATAGAAGTATTTCTAGGCCCTTTTTCCTAAGTCACAAGAACTTCTAAGTTATCCAGAACACTTATTTCAACAATGATGAAATGACCCAAACAAGCAGCAGAGACTGTGGTAGATCTGACAAACTGCATTCAAGGGATTTCCAAAGATGATGTTATGACTTTGTAGAAGCTAATTCCCACCACAGATGGTGCCTATTAAAGCCCCCAGACCATTCCTGAGTGAACAGGCTCCAATAAGGGAGAGCTGTGTTACCCTCCTAGCTGCTCCTGCCATCCCGTCCCATCCCGTCCCATCCCACCCAGGCCCTGGTGCCGTGGGTGGAGAGAGGCACTGCCAGTTGTTCCCAGCTGGAATGGAACGAGTTAACAGGCAGAAATGCTGAACTCCACACCTGAGACACAACTCCTGAGCTGGGGAGTCACCCCAGACCTGGGCTCAGCTTTGCTGGGGGCTCTCAGAGCCGGGGTTAACCAGGGTACAGACACTGCTGGTGGGGGAGCTCCTCGCTGCTCCTGCAGGATCTGAGAGCACTCCTGTACAACACCCTTTTCTCCCCCCCCCAGGTACCCAAAAACATTCCACCACACCTCCTGCTCCATGCCAATAAGGGAAACTTCCATGAAAAGGATGTGAACAGTTGCAGGGCTCAGCTGGTCATGGTTCAGGTTAAAGACAACTGAGGCAGTGTGAGGAGACCCACATGAACAAGGAGGGAAGGAGGCAGTGCTGGAATGGGAGCAGCACATGACTGAGAGTCCACTTTTTCCAAATTCAGATGTATCGTCTTTGAAACTCAAGCTTGTCTTAGTTTCCTAAATCCAGCTACTGTTGAATGCTTGCAGATTAAGAGAATACTGGATTTGGTTTAATAACTTTCTTTGTGCCAGGGAATATGGCTTTTTCAATAGGATACAGACTTTTTTAATCATCCCCACATCTTTCTCTCTAGAAGTAATTACCAGCACTGCACTTCATCAAATAAGTTTGGGGCTTCCTTAATGCAAAAGAGAGAGAATTGCAAATACAGTGTTTGCTGAGAGAAATGTCATTTTTGCAATTTAATTCCCACCCTTGGTCTGCAAAAAGTCTGACAATCTCCAGCAGAATTTGCACCTCTGGAAAGATCAGAGCCATGGGGACTCTTCCCTTTTGTAATGCAGTCAGGAAGGGCTAAGATCTGGTGGTATTTGATTGCTTTTGGTAATTAGTTCCTCTCTTCACAGAGAGCACCATCACTGTCATCTAAAATAAACCCAGCAATGCATCTGACACACAGGGAGCAAACTCATGTGCTGGCAGCACTTCCCCACAACTCCTAGAACAATACTGTCAAAAGGAATCCAAGCAAGGTTTTTCTCATCTGCTCAGTGCAGAGGGTGTCCCTCCTGTAACAGATCTGTATAACAGAAAGCAAACCCGAGTGAAGAGGAAATGGCACAGATCTGGCTGGTACAACGTGACCATTCTGAACCATAAACATCAAGAGGTGTTTATTCCTCTTCTCTCAGAAAGTTGTAGCATTAAAGCATGGTCAAACAGAGACTCCCCAGCTGAACCCCTGCAGTCACAGGAGCAGCTCTATTTCCCAGATCGATCTGCCTGTAATTAAATTAATATAGTGGAAAATAAGCAGT